CATCATCAAGAGCTATTAAGCGAGCGCTCTCTTGTCCGGTCTCTCACACAAACACATATGCAAACGCACATATTTCATGCGCTAACACACCTTTTATCCTTAACAATGGTCTGATCTCGGAGCACTGTGGCTGTACTTTTATTAAACTTTGATTGAGGCACTCACCGATTTAAGACAGATTTTGATCGGTCTGCGCAACGCTACATGAAGTCACACATACACTGTTTGATGTTGCGCTATGATTGGTCGGAGCTTTCCTATTACTTATAGTTATTTACACCTTTTTTCTTTCATTCAGTACAAATAGGCTACTCTCAAATAACATCTGAATATTTTTATGTGTACACTGAAACACGATTTAAGAACAAACTTAGATCAAAATATAAATAATTAGGATGCACTCGGCTTTTAAACAAAGAAAAAGGTTGCACAGAATGAGATGTTTTTCTTTCTCGCTGAGCCAGACATTCCTCTGTTTATGTTTATGTTTTGAATGTTGTTTATAGCATTTTTAGCGTACACATTTCATACACATATATAAGCTGACCTTCTTTTTTTAATGTTGATAAAGATATTTATAGTCTAATTTATGAAACAAAGTGTGAAATGTCAGTATGGATGATGATCGTTTTGTGTAGTTTAAATGCAGTCTTTTAAATGCAACTAAAGATGCTATAAATGCATAACAAAACATATTTTTGTATGCAGTCCCAACGTTAATGGAATGGATTGAGGCCTTTTGTCTTTCTGTTTATCAGACAGCAGCTTCTTTAAGTCCCCTCCCCCATTCCACTTTTCGTATGCTAATGGTGTATAATTCCTTGGTCTATACAGCCAAACTTATTTGAGTTTGAGTTTTTTTAACTCACACGTAATGTAATAATCTCTTTTTGGCCTGCCTATACCCTTTCCAACATCCACTATAAATTATTGATGAAAAATAAATGAATATCCACACACAAATCAGCGCGGTATCGTTTACCGGCGAGCAAGCACATGACCATGGAGCAGAATGGAGCGTCACAACGTATACAGTACATCAGTTCAGTATGTTTACTATGTTACATAACTGCCCCCTGCTGGCCATGTATTACTTGTGTTAGATCATGTTGTACTGTGCCACAGTTTACTGCAGTCACATGCGACACCACTTTAGATCACTCACACATTCTCAGTAGTCATATCTGTAAAATAGTAATAAGAACAATAAAAATTAACTTAGACATAGCTATGCTACTTTTGGCAAGCAGCATTTTTTAAGTTGCTTGCCCAACACAGTTAATTTGTACCCAGAGAGCTGTCCAAACCGTTCAAGAAAAACTAATAAGACTAGAAAGTGATTCATCTGGATAGGAGAGATAATGGCCCATTCTCAATTCTACCCCTTACCCACCTTTGGTGTCCCAATTCTCTTTAGCTTGAAGGACTGCTGTCTTATTCAGACATTTTACATTTAGTTAGTATTAAATTGTGATTTAGCGACCTTCTGGTTATATATAGGTATTGTATTAAATGCTAGAGTCCTTATTTGATGACATAAAAAATGTGAGCATATGTATTCAGAAGCTGCATGGAAGAGCACATGGTTGTAGCAATCATTTGCTCCTTGATTTAAGTTGTATTGAGGGCACATTGGGTTTGTAGACATTATTTCATCATAATTTGACTTAGGTTTATTTATGCTTACACTATACTCATGTCATTATACTTGCAAGATGTTAATTTTTTTCTTTATTTGGTCAATTGTATATATGAGTCGGTTAAGAGTGTAACCAGTGATTATTTTGCAAAGAGCCCCAATTGTGCATACTTACCATTCTGTATTTTGTATATTTTGCAGTTTTATGCTCCTTATTCCATAATCAACAGTAAAAGGTTCAAACTTATCCCTTGAGTCTGTTATCATTGGAAGATGTTAACTCTCAGTTAAGTCAAGCAAGGCGTTTGATATAAGGGGCAGAACAGTCAAACGAATATCTTCAGTGACCAACTTTTAGGTCTAGAATAATCTTTTGACTTCATGGTGGGGAGCATGTCAGCTCATAAGGTGATCTTTCAACAATGTCCAAGCCAAGCTCCAAAGCTGGATCACAGAGGCAGGCATCAAGCACATCATGCTCTTCACGTCACTAACATGGTTTATCGGCTGTAACCAGCACTGCTGCAATGGCACGAAATGGCAGAAATAGCTTTTGCTAAAAAAAAAATCGAAATGTAAGTACAACAAGCACTGCTAGAAGCTTCATTGAAGACTTTAGGCCTATGTGTCAGAACAGATGAATAATAATGTGCATGCAGAGGCGCCAGTCCTGGATGAACCGATAAGGAAAGCATACGTTTATCAGAAATGCAACAACCACAGAATACTGGATAATATTTGCAGCAGGAAAGGCAGTGTATGTCATGTCTCCAAGATTGCAGCCTAGTGATGCAGAGAACATACAGAACCCTGCCATTTCACAGTCTACCAGTGTACGCTTGACACTCTCTGGTCAAGCAAGGCATGCACCCAGTCACCTCAATATGTTCATCACCCAAAAGCCCAGTTTTCAGCAGTTCAAGGTAGTGAGGAAAGAAGCAGACATAGAGAGATGCCACTGGACTATTCTTAGACAATGTCAGGTATTCCCTTATATGCCGGGCATCAAAGTAATTTGTATGTGGACAGTCACATCTTCGATGTGGTCAAGTTTATTGCAAGACGTGATTTGGTGTCTACTGGCCTTACACAATTTAACGACCAACCAGAAACTTTCAGAGCATGGAGGGCATCTTTCATACATGATACAAAAGACCTTAACATTTCACCAAGATAAGAAATGGACTTGCTAGTAAGATGCCTAGGGTTGCACCGATACCATTTATTTGGAAGAAGGGATGCTCAAAATAACCGATTAACTGTTAACCATAAGGGAGCATTTGTAACTGATTCATGGTATCAGTTGAACGATTACAAATATTATTTTCTATATTTTTAAAGTTTGGCTGCATAAGTGGTAGATCACAGTGAACACTGTTTTTACACATTTTTTGAATGGTTTGCAGTTGTACGGTATGTGCACTCGAGTTGAAAAAGCTTGTTACCTCAGTCACGTCTTTTTCATTCTTCAATCAAATGAAAGCAGAGGCAGGGTTTTCTTTCAGTTGACAGCAATGTGTTGCGAGGTCAAGACGACTACAGTGAGCTTTTAATGAAGGAGGAGAGACTTGTGGTCGATGTTTCAAGTCATTCAAAGCTACATGACTTAACACATCTTGAATATCATAATGATATTAAAAAAGCTGATTCAGTCATTTCCTATAGTGACAAAAAAGCGCTGCACTCCTTTTTTTATTGTCATCAATAAAGGCAGTGCGGTGTGCCTCTCGTTTTTGGAATGGAAAAGCACGAGCAATAACAGTAACATGCAACCACACGTGCCTACAGAGGTATTCTGTCATAGAAGCAAAATGAAAGGAGGATATTTCTGGACACAATTTGACAGACGAGTTGACAAACTAGTGCTGATGCTGATCACCTCTGTGCTGCCTGGAGCCGCGTCATAAATAGACTATGATGATGTAGGTCTCTATTTTGACGGTCCATGCGCAGAGCACAAAATGCAGGGCGCAAATGCTTTCAGGGCGTGTCAGAACGCATTTTTGCTAATTTAAGGATGGAAAAATCCGCTTTGCGCCGTGGCGCATGGTCTAAAAGGGTTGAGTTTATTTTCTTAATGAGTTATAGGTGTGTTTTGAGAATAAACCAATTAGAGTCTCATATCCCATTCCCTTTAAGAGCCAGCTGCATCGCGCCATAAGCGAATTTGCTATTTACAGGACATAAAGTAAGTCTAAGAGGAAAAACTGAGCATTTCACTTGCAAACAGTTAACAGTTTTTTTTTTTTTTTTTTTAAGAAAACGGTTAAACAGAGCATCTACTGCGTGAGAATGAGAGATAATGGATCTACTTTCACTTTCGCTCTTGGATAGGGAAAACACGCACAAACATCAATTATTCTATAAATAATTAATTGCGTTTGTTAAGCGCAAATATTCGTTTCAAAACTATTTCTAAATTCAGTTCTAATTTCCAGCAAACAAATAAATAAACAATAATAACGAAGTGTGCTCAAAAACCTGAGTTATATCCTAAAACACATGCTGTGCCCCATATGGTCTAAAACCTGACAGGTGGGCAAATCTAAGCTTGCTTTTAATAAAACAAATATAAATATGGATATAATAAATAATACTGCTAATAATAATAACATTATACAAAAGCAATTTGTTATGAGCAAACTAAAAAACCTCCCGAGATGAAGACATAAAAGCAGTGATTTTTCATATCCTATATCTATTCTTATTACATCATATATATATATATATATATATATATATATATATATATATATATATATATATATATATATATATATATATATATATATATATATATATATATATATATATATCCTTAATATTTAAATTTATTCATATGTAAAGATATTTGCCTATTCCTCTCTTGTGCTTATTAAGCAGTGTGTAAGTGAGGCGCAACTCTGCGCTGGAGTTTAGACCTGGTTTGTTTTGGTCTAATGAAAAATCTATTTTAGTTTAGCAGTGCGCTTTAGAATGCCTTCCTTTTTAGACCAGAATGCCTATGGGCGCACATATGATCGCTAATGCATGTGCTATTTAAACAGCGTAGCGCAGCGCCTCAAAACGACTCTTGCGCCAAGCTAAAACTAGCAAAAGACTATTGCGCCGCGCCTTCCGCCACATTGCGCCAGGTGTATGATAGGGCCCTTAGTGTTCAACGAGCTTGTCTGTTGGCAAAATTAACCAAAATGAGCAGTTTCTATAGTTCTGGCGCTAAACTCAAATAATATTTCTTCTTTAGTAAAAAAATAACAGACCTATAGGTATACATGACAGACAGCACAATCTAACTAAACACTGTAAAAAATCCAACTTGACAAATGTTGAAATTGCTTGATTTTTTTTGTTGGTTCAGCAAAAATCTGTAAAAAAGTCTGTACAACTACATTTAACACATTCAATCAACTTAAACAAAGATTTTATTCATTAAGTTAAAAAGATGAGTTTTGTGAGCAACACTTTGCTAGTTCATTCAAAAAAGCATCTGCCAACTTGTTTTTTTGTGTTAAGTCAATCTCTGACTTTTTTAATGCAATGAATATACAAGTAGCATAACCTTTTGTTGATTGAAAAGGTTTCAAACATGTTAAATATTCTAAAAAAATTATCAATGGCAGTATAGAACCTTTTCCCAGAGATGGGTTGGGGCTGGAAGGGCATCCGCTGCGTAAAAACCTGCTGGATAAGTTGGCGGTTCATTCCGCTGTGGCGACCCCAGATTAATAAAGGGACTAAGCCAACAAGAAAATGAATGAATGAGTATAGAACCTTTCATGGTTTGTATTAAAAAGTAAATGCTGAGTGAGAATGCTATTATTATTATTATTATTAATACAATAATAAATATCGTTATTCTTCACATTGTTATTAAAAACAACAAAAAACACTACAATACTTATAGTAACTTTATTTGAAACTTTTCATTTGCAATTTAACTTTATTTGGTGCACATTTGCAGAAATAAGCTTGCACGCACATTATCATCTCGTGTTTATTCATTACCCTTTAAAAAAAGAAAGGCATACTTTGATATTCCAATATTTAAAAATAAACCATGCACTCAAAAATATGTTTCTCAAAGGACGATATAGCATCATTCTGTCTTGAGCTAAACCACGCCCTCGTTACGATGGTTGCGCTTACGTAACGTCAACGTCTCAGGCGGGAGAAACTGGAAGCATTGTACTTCGGTGGGGAAAGAGGCAAGCCGTGGAAGAGCAATCTTAATAGTAAGTGTGCAAAGATTGTAGTTCTTTGTTTAAGACACTTCATCTAAATTTGTCCTCCTAAATGTTCATCATATACGCGCAAAAATGTGTGCAGATGCGGCGCTTAGTGATTATTCACATAATCTCTCTTTGTTATGTGATAAGAGTGAATGAATATTTGTGTTGCCGTAAATCATATCCATGCCCCGGGTAGCAGGAAGTAATCGGCCCGAGCTCGGCTGCCCTTCGGCGCCTCCGGCTCCGACTCGGCATCAACGTGTTATACGGGCGGAGTGTGGCCCGCAGCTCGCTCGCGCACATGCGTTTGTGATGCAGCTGTAAACACTGGCCAGATTCCTGTTAACCCTATCTGGCCCGAGTCTGTCTCGGCTCGTATAAGGACTCGGCTTGTGTAACTGATGACAACCGATTAAATTCTTATTTTATCTAGTAATTTGTTAGCTCCACGTTTAATGATAATTTGAGAAAATATATATGGTACAACAGCAACAAAATAATAAAAACATTTAGTGTGGATGGTCGCAATGTTTAGATGCAAACAAAACAATATTATTTATAAATGGATTATATATATCATCTAGGGAAAACAGTGTAAAATGCGCTTATTTTCGAGATAGCACGCTTCCATGCAGACTGTTTTTTTTAAGCAGAAGTTTGGTTTCATAAGAAACACATGCGTGAGTCAACTCTTGGTCCAAACTCCAATCCAGACGGTGGCGGTAATGTTCCAAAAGCTGGTTGCCAACCGCTATGATGATCACAAGAAGAAAAAGAAGTTTGGCGTTTCAAAACAGTGGATTCCGGTCAGAAAGGTAAGGTTTTTGCAGCTTGTATACTGTATACTTTGCGAATTTAATGCTTAAAACATTTTCACAGTGTTAGGTTATTGTTAAGTTATTGTTTAACTTGTTTATGCAGTGCATCAGTGATCGTTTACTGTTCTCTTTAAATTATCCTTCTATTATTAAGAGAAATATATTAGTATGTGCTTTAATTTATATGTGTTAGCCTATGTGAATCAATTATATCTTATGTTCAAGTTGTAGTTTGCGCATGTAAAACTAAATTTCTTAAAGCAGATTTTGATGGGTTTTATTTTTTGGTTATTGACAGTTATAATTTCTGATTTAAATGAATGGGTATAAATGAATATTTTTTTGGTTAAGTCTTACTGTTCTTGTTTAACAAAGGTTAGTGAGGTCATTTTGTAGCACATCACAGAGACCAATAGCACATTCTTATGAAAATGTGAATAGGCATGTTATAGTTGGGTGATTAAAGTCCATTATAACTGTAAACTGCTGATACATTTTCAACATAGATTGAGCTTTTCAGACTTTACATTACTAATTGCTTCACAAACAGCTGAAATGGTTTATTGTTATTGGCTATCATCATCATCAAACATTTTCCACAATGGTAGGTTAATCTTCATGGGTACAGAATAATGCATGTGCTTGGCCATCTTACAAATCTATGTCTAAGATTCATAAGGCTGTCTCTCTGCATGAATCTCTGAATAAATCCTGTGTGCTGATTATTTACACCATAGGTATTATAGCCATTAATTAACTTTGATAGTATTTCAGGATTTTAACTTTTTGGGGGGAGGTTAACAACAATGTGATGTTTTATTATAGACACACATGAGGAAGCTCGACTCAGCTTGGCTTGCAGACAGATGAGGACGGTGATTGCCCGTCATACACCTAAAGAAAGAACAGGTTTGTTTGCAATTATTTTAAACACATACTGTCAACATTATGTCATTGATCTATTACACTGCCATTGTCATTGATCTAGTGTCCTGCACTATACTAAAATAATGTTTTGTTTTGTAAATGTATCTGATCAAGGGGCATTAAAGACACAACTATAGTGAACGAGGCTGGAGAAAAAACTGATATGAAGATTTCAGAAATTGATGCAGCACCGCAAGTACCATCACCGCCAATGACTATGGCAGGATCCTTAAGAACACCATCAAGATGCACAGATGCTGTACATTCCAGTACACCTATGAACATTTACAGTCCTTGTTCAAGTGCAGTCGGAGATCAAGACAACTTATTGCAACTCGTCATGTCTTTGTAAGAATTCAAGACATCACTAAATTTGTAATGGCTTAATGCAGCTAGAAAGTAAAGATCAACTAGAGAATATCAGCAGTGTCTAACCCACTGTTGTATTTACACAAGTTGCATGAGAATAAGCAACAGGTTGATTTATACTAATTTGTTATTTTTCTTTTTTAGCACGACTGAAAAAAAGTTTTAAAATCATGTGACGTCATAAAGCAGCAACTGTGCCTGATTCTCACAAATCAGCAAAACCAAAACAGACGTGATGAAATTCCAGATGTAAACACATTTGACCTTTCTTTGTCCAATTTGATTTGGAAAAACTTGAAAATCAACTAAACGAGCAGCCCGAACAAATGAAGAAACTGGTAAGTTTCTTGCTTATTTCTAAGTGTTTTATGTTTATTTATTTATTTATGTGTTTTTTTGCTTCGTAGGTAGCCTACTTTGGAATCATTGGTGTTTTCCACTAAGCAGTTTGGTGTGTCCCGGGAAAGCTTTTGGCTCACTTTTTGGCTGAACAAATTAACTGGAGCAGGGCAAACCAAAATGTGGCCTTTCATGCACTCTCCCTTACGACTGTCTAGTCAGTAAGTTGGTTTTAAATATACATTTCAGTACAATTAGGGGCAGTTCCATCTGTGTATTTCTTTGAATCATTAATCAAAGAAACAAAACATCTATATATAGTCCCATTTAGGTTGTACTTATATGAGAGCAAGCATCTTTCTTTTTTCATTTGTACTTTTTCACTACTAATTGTTTGTTTATCTTTTAATCACAGATGTAGTGAGGAGAAATGTCCATACCACATCACTGATAAAGAAGTGGAAAAATGCATTACAAGGTGGCTACAACGTGCTCCTGACAGGGCTGGAGGAAGGAGGGAAAAAGAGAAAGCTAATGTGTCAAATGTCTACATCAATAATTTATTTTTTAAACAACATTTTAAGTGTATTAAGATGTTCCCTGATACTTGGGTAATTTGTTTCTTTTATTTGCAATTTATATATATATATATATATATATATATATATATATATAAAATGACAATATGCTAAATTCTGAAAAAGCATCTTAATACATTTTTAATTAACATAATATAATAAAAATATTAATAACAAATTGCACAAGACATATAAAGATATACAAGTCAAATTATATATATATATATATATATATATATATATATATATATATATATATATATAATCATCTCACTCATTTAAATGTATTATTATGTTTTATTTATTACATTTATTAAAAATGTTTCTTAAGAATTCCGCAGTTCTTTTTACATTTTTGACTTGTATATTTTACATATTGTCATGGGTATTTGTAAGATGTTTCTTGCTATATCTTAAATTGGTTTCTATATTCAGGTTTATATAAAATTAAGCTGTTTTAAGATGTGTCTTGTACAATTTTTTAATTCAAGTCTATTGGGAAAACAGGGTTGTTTTAAAAACTTCTGTGTATGTGTGCAATTTCAGATTTTGTCTTTAAATCTTCCTGTGTGTCTTTATTGTGTAGTTTTATTATTACTTGTGCACTACAAAATATTTTATTCAAGTTTAGTATTATTTGTTTATTGCAATCAATAAATGTTTATTATTATTTATTTTGTCCTTTGTTTGATAATTTTTGTTATTGGATATGTATGCTGTTTGCATTTTATTCAAAGGTTGAACGCAGTGCCTACACTTTGCCTTTACATTATAGCCTGCGTTTGCTGGTATATAAATGCAAATGGTTGTAATACCATGTATCAAGTACCAATATAATACCAAAAGGTTTTATATCAAGGTATATTGAGTTGCGCCAGCTCCGGGCTGCAGCGCACATTACTCACGGGCCGATTCTGGCTCGGATGCGGCAGCGAATCTAGCTGGAACTGGCCCAAGTGTATTTTACTATCTAGGGTGGCTCTTAAAGTGACAGCGCGTATATTCCAACTGCTTATTATTATATTAAGCAAACAAAATCAAATCAAAACCAAAATAATAGTAATAAATCGTTCATTTTGAACTGAAGGTGTATACAGTGGAACACTTATTACTAAAGTAAGATCCTTTACTGGCAGTTTTAATATCATATTTATCCATGACCAGCCAAGGTACTAGCACAAAACATGTAATTATGCAAGTATAGATTTTGAAATGAATTACAACAAATACTAAGATTTATATCTCAAGGCAACTAGTAATTCAGATTGATTGCTCTAATTGCCCTGCTGAAAAAAAACAAAAAAAAAAAAACAGCATATGCTGGGAAGGTATATCTTTTGATGCTGGTATGCTGGTCTTGCTTGTTTTAATGCTGGTTTTGCTGGTCTTAATGTTGGTTTTGCTGGTCTCAATGCTGGTCCTAATGCTGGTTTCAATGTTGGTCTTGCTGGTCTCAATGCTGGTCAGGAGCAGCACTTAGACCAGCAAAACCAGCACTGAAACCAGCAAGACCAGCATTGAGACAAGCAAAACCAGCATTGAGACCAGCATCAAAACATACCTTACCAGCTTACGCTGTTTTTTCAGCAGGGTGTTGTGAATAATTTATGGGATATTCTAAGGTTATTAAAATTGATAGTGTTAGGTAGTCTCAGAGATGTGCTGTAATTGTTATATATTTAATATAATTGTGTTTCCTTTTCATGTGATTAATTTGACTTAGTGTTTGTGTTTTTTTTTTTTTTTTTTTTTTTTTACAGATACACTACCTCGTTTTTGTACTTTAGTGAAGAACCGCAAGAAAATGAATGTTTTGGTAAAATGTATGTCTTTTTTTGCCATGTGTGTTTACTCCGATAACATTTTATTTATTAGTACTAATTTCCAATTGTATTTTTTTGGTTCATTTAACTTCTGTAGTTTCAGACCATTCAGACAAGAAATGTTCAGTCAGCAGAACTTAAAAAAACAGAGCCATGTGTGTTTGCTCGGATAACATATAATTTCTTAGTACTAATTTCCTTTTGTATTTTCTTGTTCTCTCAACTTCTGTCATTTTTGGCCATCCAGACTAGAAATGTTCAGTTAACACAACTTTTGCTCTGGTAACATATAATTTCTTAGTACTAATTTCCTTTTGTATTTTCTTGTTCACTCAACTTCTGTCATTTCAGGCCATCCAGACAAGAAATGTTCAGTTAACACAACTTTTGCTCTGGTAACATATAATTTCTTAGTACTAATTTCCTTTTGTATTTTCTTGTTCACTCAACTTCTGTCATTTCAGTCCTGCAGACAAGAAATGTTCAGTTTGCACAACTTAAAATATTTGTTGTGCTGCAGGTGCAGGTTTCCAGAAAACTACTAATGTTAAGTTGACTCAACTAGACATTTTTTGTTTCACTGACAAATTATTTTCAGTCAGTGTAGCTGATGTTTTCAAAAGTTGAGTAAACAAGAAAAAACAGAAGGAAATTAGTACTAAGATTTTTTTTGTTGAACTGGCTTAAAATTTTTTACAGTGAAACATGCCTGCTGTTTGAACATTCTTTGAGTATTCGTTTGTGATATTGTCCTTTCCTTTTTAATATTAAGATTTTTCTTAGAAATCAGCAATAGGCTACTACTAACATTGTTGGTAAAATAATCAGCCTTTTATCAAATGTATTAATTTTATTAAATTAAAGCCTCATATTTTCCTGCAGGTTTGATGCAGACTAAACTAAACCATCTGATGCCACTTTTACTTAATAATCCCTTTCCAAATCTCGCTGTGAGACGGAGAAAGTTCAAAACAAGGTCCGCTTATATGCTTCAGTGTCAAAACTGGTCTGTTAAATAAAATGTTAACATAAAAAATTACAGTGAAATATTCACAGTTTCAGAGTAACCTATATTAGGCTAAATTATTTTCTGTTAATGTCAATCCATATGCGCCCGTCAGTTTCACTTGTATTAATTTAATCAACTACTTTGACCACAATGGGCCAGGCTTAAAAACTGTTTGCAGCACTTAAAGTATTCCCCTTGGAAGAAACTCAGTCTGAAGGGTTGGAGAACAAACTCAATGTGAGAATAATCTTACGGAGCGGCGCACGTCGCCTTTGAGCATGCAGCCAGCACGTTAATGAAAGGGTTTGATGCATCTGAGACAAAGCGCACAGCGCTCCGGTATCTACAGACATTTGCGAAAAAGCAGCTCAAATGGAAGAAATAAGTACATTGAGGATCAGCCAATGTATTACTGAGGCTTTTCTAAATAAACTTTTAGGTAGGCCTACTTTATGGGTGAAGAGCAGGTAATAACCCTCCCCACTCCTCTATTGCGAACGCGATCTAATCTAACAAACAGAATGCAACATGATTTAGAAACAATGAAATGAACTCCTGCTGCAGGTCAAAATTAACCCATTTAAAGCTAAACTAAATGTATTTCTCCACTAATCATTTAAACTAACAGAAACAAATAGTCTTGGAAAAAGTTTTTCCTGTTGTCTTAATTGCGTCAAGCAGTTTGAATGGAGAATAATTGAAGAATGATTGACAGGCGCAGCAGCAGAAAGCGCTGAAGGGAACATGAAATTAACCACATGAATATAGGCCTACATCTGTACTTCACATTAAACTACAGAACGGCTTCAAAACATTTAGGATATAGGCATGCATGACTATGTTCTAGTGGCTTATAACAGGCTACTTATATGGCTTAGTTGGCTTGTAAACACAGACTATAGCGCAAGCGCAAGATCGGATTTGGATCGGTACCAATACCCAATCCAGCAAAAATATGCGGTATCGAACCGATATCAGATCCAAGTATCGGGATCGGTGCATCCCTAAAGATGACTACGGCGCGAGTCAGCCGTTCTCTTTAATTATCCATTACAAGGGTTCAAGCAGATCTGGAAAAGACTTTACGAAACATAAAGCACCAGAAATGTTACAGAGCTCTCTCTTCAGGAAATTGGGGAACTTCTCCAAAATATCGGACAGAGATAAATGAAGACTGCGTGAGCAAGGTGATTTGCTCCTAGAGATCCAAGCAACTATGCAGGATGGACATCTGATGATTCTTTCCTATCTAGAAACACGATGAGAAGTAAACCTAATAATACAGAAATTGCCATTCAGCTTACAAGAGAAGTGGCTCACAGTGGGGTCTAAATACAAAGAGGAGCAGGGTTTCCTTTATGAAATGTTGAGTGTTTGCTATTTTAAAGTGATAGGATAAGACAGTCAATAATTAAGCCTTTTCATTTACGTTCAATTTAAGTTTTTGTTGTTGATTATATTTTACTATCTCATTTTACTCTCTCAATCACGATCGTAATCTCGATCGTATGTCCTGAAACACTTAACGATTTCCATTACTTAAGATAAACAAATAATATGCAACATCCTTAAATTATTCTCTTAAATAAAGGGGAATTACCTATTAAGTGTAATATTGCTAATGGAAAAACGTTATGTTTTAGGTCTCTCCAGAGCATTTGGGATAAATGGTTGACGGCGTCTATCAAAACAAGGATGTTATAAAATACATTTTATACTGAGGTATTACTTTAAAATTTCTGTGGTTTTATATTATGGATGGTGCGCTGGGTCATCCCTCCGCTTGTGGCGAGACCACTCGATGTCAACAGTCTGTCAGCGAGTAACTAACTATAATAAATGGAAATGCATAGGTCTGTGCATATAGACACATAATGTAATGCTGTACAGTAACGTGTCATTTGTTTGTTTTGGTTGTCATCAATTTAATTATTTTGTGATGATGGGATGGTGTGCTTTATTTGCCTGCTTGATTCCCACTGAACTGGGTTGTGTGACAAATCAAGTTCGGGGGATGTGTGACACTTGATTCACCACTAACAGAGGGATGACCAGCGCACCATCCATAATAGAAAAACAACAGAATTTCTCAGGTAAAAACTCGGTATAAAACATATTTTATAGCATCCTCGTTTCATTAGTTGCCGTCAAACATTCAGCCCAAATGTTTCGGAGTGACCTAAAACATATTTATATAGGCTGAAACTTAATG